AATGATTAGGAAATTAAATATTGTATTTTTATTGAAATGATTTGCTTTGATTAAATAAAATCTAGGCATTAGTAGTTTTAATGATGTATTTATAAACTGCTGAGAGCTTGTTTTGAAGTTAAACAGGTTATATTTCTCTAATATCTATATTTTATTTCTGTTAAAACATCTCCCTCAAACAACTGTATTTATTCAAGTTCATTGCAAAAAACTTGAAGGAATCATAATAAAATAAAATGAATCCTCCGTTAACGTTAGCTGACGTTAACTATTTCAATTTAATGCGCTTTTATAGGCATGAAAGCATTAAAATAAAAAAGTATACAATGATATTAATATGAATACAAATACAACATTAACATGACATTACGATTGTTGTATAATAATAATAATAATATATACCGCTTATTAAACTCTTTGAAATCTGGGATGACAGAGTTGAATTTATCAAAATAAATGTTCCTTATTTCATTGGATGTTTTATATTTTAGGAGGAAGCTCATTTTAGCTCTTCACCAGAGATTTGTTGTTCACAAGGAAAAGAATAGGGAGCACGAGAGTGTTTCACCACAGGTGTGCAGTACTAGTTTGCACATGTGCAGTAGTGGTCAGTTAGAAATGTACGGATCGTGTTGCGGTTGTTCCTGTGGAGCGTAAATGAGCTGGTAAATGACATCTGGACGTCTTTCACATTCACGTTTCCCACCTTGACAAAGTTCAACAGGCGTCGGAAGCCCCAGGGAACCGAATAGAGCCACTCAGAGCCGGGGTCGGGCCACCATGGGTCAACCAGCTCGGCGAGGTCACGATCCGCAAAGTAGCTGTCCCCGAGGCCCGATGGGTAATTCTTCAGGGTCACGTAGCGAGTGGTGAAATGTCCGAGACCCAGGAAGTCACAGGTCCCCTTGATGTAGCTCTTCTCCTGAGGCGAGAACACGGGCAGCCGCGAGGCGCCCAGGCCCTGCTGGCCGCTCTTCCTGCCTGAAGGTCAGAGTTCAGGGATTACAAATGATTCGTACAGCAACACACAACAAGCAGTCAAAATTTTTCTATTAAAACACCACTTGAAGATGCTTTCACCAGCGGTTCATAAACTTCGTTCTGACTCAAAGTGTTGACTTGGTGGAGTTTTACGCATCGCTAAGTTATAGTTTAGATGAAGTGGAAAAATGCATTTTTAAGCATTTTAGATCACATCCCTGTTCATATTGTGTAATAGTTAAACAATATATGAAAAATCCAAATCCAAAACCCATCAATTAGCTTAGCATAATCACATATTTCCTTCTCATCATAAACAGTATGAATACAGATTTCTCCTTGTATGCAGACAGAAATAAAACTTAATAACTACGTTTACAAAAGTATTTTATGTTGCGATTCTAAAACTGTACTTTGTGATGCTTCCGTGACTTCCTGTTTACGTGGCTGCTTGCTCTTGATTGGACATCGCTAACGATGTTTCCTAGTAACCAATTTACACACCACTGAGACATTTCTTATGTTTATAATAGTGCAGCTTTATTTGGTAAATCTCTAGTTTTAAACTAATTAGTAGTGACTAAGAACTTATGAAGGACTTTACGACGACAATGGAAATACGTTTTGGACTTTTGTAGCTGTGTGTGATTTGATGCGTCTAATAGTAATAATAATAACGACAAACAAACTACAACAGCAGAATAAAGTCAGCCTCTGTCGGCGGACATTATTCTGCTGAGTACAGTCATCTTTCTCAGAAACACTGACATACCGATGTAGTCTTTCATAACCTGGGGGTAGTCTCCATTGAAGATGGGAGTAGCAAACCATCCCATGTAGAACTGGATGTATCTCTCTGCTGCTTCGATGTCCCTCTGGTTGGTGATGTCCACTGGTTCCCCCCAGTTGGCCGTGAGCGAGATCCCAACCAGGCCTGCACACACACACACACACACACACACACACACACACACACATACAGCATGGCAGTGATTTATCTTTGACTTCAGTCCCAAAAAATAAATAAAAAGTAAATCAAATAAATTAAAGCTTTTTCTTTTTTTTACCTTTTTGTTTGCTTCGCCACTTCATGTCATACGTGTGCCAAACCTGAGCGTGGGCCTGTTTCAAAGACAGAAAGTGTCGCTTTAGTGTCTGTTGTAGTTTAGTTTGTTTGACATTATTTTGATCATCACACACATCTACAAAAGTATGAGACTTATTTCCATCGTCTTCATTGGTGTAAAGAAAGCAAAGCTGCAGGAGTTCCTTCAGGAAAATATTTCTAGGTTTGAGCGTAAAGTCCTTCATAAGTTAATAATGTTAAGTTAATATAATAATAAATATATATTTGACCCACACTAATCATATCATTACTGAGACAAATGGACATGCAGTGAAACTGTAAATGTTGTATTCTGCACAGACAGACCACCAGTCTGGAGTCTACAGACCCCCGCTGAAGTGGACACAGACCACCGTGTCTGGAGTCTACAGACCCCCGCTGAAGTGGACACAGACCACCGTGTCTGGAGTCTACAGACGCCCCGCTGAAGTGGACACAGACCACCGTGTCTGGAGTCTACAGACCCCCCGCTGAAGTGGACACAGACCACCGTGTCTGGAGTCTACAGACCCCCGCTGAAGTGGACACAGACCACCAGTCTGGAGTCTTTGTACCTTGATGATGTGATGAGCAGCTTTGTAAGCTCCCGTTCCCTTCAGCTTCAGTCCGGGTGCATGTTCCCCTGTTTCATATCCCTCCACAGCGATGGACTGAAAACACAAGACGCCACGAGTCAAACACCACGTCTGTTCACCGGGACAGTGAACGCACCGTTTCCCGTTTAAAACCCGACATACCCACGGATTGCTGAAAGTGATCCAGTTCTTCACTTTGTTTCCAAATCGTTCAAAGCACAAGTTGGCAAAGTCGTTGAAGTAGTTCACCATGGTGGCGTTCTGCCAGCCGCCGTAATTCTCCTGTAAGACCTGTGGAGTAAAAGACGTGTTAGTGTCCCAGTCTGTAAATGGTAATAAATAAATAAAGTGTTTGGTGCTCACCTGAGGTAAATCCCAGTGGTACAAAGTAACGACGGGTGTGATCTTATTGTCCAGCAGCATGTTAATCAGGTCCTCGTAGTATTTGATTCCTCTCTCGTTGATGTGTTCACCTGAAAGAGTTACCATTAAATAATTAATATCAATATGCACTATCATGAAATAAAACATCATTACCATTAGGGTTGCCTTTAATGATTGGAGTTCAACAAAATAAAATATTTATTTTTCGATGTCAAAAAATAAGGAAAAATGACTAATATCATTTTTAGAGCCCAAGGTGACGTATTTGAAGTAAAACGATTTAGAAAAGAGAAACAACTTCTGGTTATTGACTTTTCAATCTTCAATCATTTTCGGTACTGATTTCAATCACCAGCCAATGAAAAAAAATCAATTGTAAAATAGTAAAGAATGGTGTTCCACACAGTGAAAAACTGAAAAACAATAATATAAAAACATCGGTCAAGGTTACTTTTCAGTCCGCTTGGTAAAATCCTCGGCCAGGAAATGGAGAAACGATAATGGTTCAGCTTCATGTCCTTCATCAAGGTGACGTCATCCTGAAAAACAAGCAAAGAAAGAGACATTTTAAAAATCAAACATTGTTCGAACCCACAGAACTTTATTTTAGGAAATAAATGAGTAAAAAAACAACTTAATGCTTTCTTGTCACAGCGTAGGAAAGAACATTGTTATAATCTAATGAGTGACAACTTTGTTCGGCTCATTTTCTGTAGAAGGTGTAGCATTAAAGCATGGTGGAATTAGCAAGCTAGCTAACTAACTAGCCAGCCAGCCACTAAATTAGTAAATTTTAACAACTTAACACTTCATCCACACACTCTTGTCACAGCATAGGAAAGATCATTGCTATCAACAGATGAGTGACAACTTTGCTCATTTTCTGTAACCAGTGTAGCATTAAAGCATAGTGGAATTAGCAAACTAGCTAGCAAAACTAGCGGACAACTGGCAAGTTAGCTAGTTTTCTAATTCCACCATGCTTTAATGCTACACTGGTTACAGAAAATGAGCCGAACAGCAGCAGCGTTCCATCCATCCATCTAAAGAGCTGCTTCTGCTGTCTTCCCAGCGAGCTGCGACAACACTTTACCATAACAAATATTAATTGCTATTTTCTTTTGTACATAGTTAAACGTCCGTTCTATTTCCATCTGTATAAGATTAATTTCAAGATTTGATCAGCTTTTTCTTTTCTGAAATTGTGTTCCATCTTCTTTAGCATGTCACCTTGAATTTGTAGTAGCCCTCACACGAGGCGTCTCCTGTGTCATTGGAGAATATTTTCCCCTTCTTGTGGGCGAATGCATCCCAGATGCTCATTCCTTTGCCATCTATGTTCCAAGCTCCTTCCGTCTGATACGCAGAGCTGCCGGCTCCCCAGGAGAAACCTGCACAGTGAACCGTAAACATTGCTGATGCTCTTTGCAGGTTATTATAAAAGTTTGACTATCTTGTGTTTGATCGCGTGACGTACCAGTCGGGAAGGTGCCGTAGTAGAAAGACGTCCTCTCGTTCTTCGTCCAGTCAAAGTCCTCCCTGGCCGACACACACAGCACCAGTGTGAGCACGTGGAACGGCCTCAGGATGCACCGCTGCAGCATCGTGGTCCTGGTCTTCAGTTACACCTGAAGGACCATAATCACCCAGTTTGAACACTAATCTCACAGATATCAAGGCAAACCTGTGAAAAACAGCTACATAGGTTACATCATCTGTTCAATCCCTGAGCCCAGATGTCTTGAAGTAAAAACAAAGATTGAGGAACTCACACAGAGGTGTCAGGTGTCCACAGGTTCTGAGTAAAACCATCCTAACTCAAAACACTCGGGATCATTTGTTAAAATATCCACAGATAAAACACACCCAGTCAGTATCAGAGCTCGTGGATTCAAAGGAAGAGTGTAGTCTCATTTCAGCCAGCTGTAGGACACACTGACACAAAACGCCACCAGAGACAGAAAGTAAGCCAGCTTGTCCAGCACAGTCAGGATGAGCGACATATTCAAGCTGCTGTAAATCTCCCACCGGGATAAGATTAGAAGATAAAAAGTGGGGTTGAGTCGTGTCCTTGCCAAAGCCTGTGCCGTGTCTCTCCCTATATCTGTCCCCCCTCGCCCAGCCTCTGTCTCCTCAGAACCACATATAAATGTCTGACCTGCTGCACCTCCTGCATTTGTCTCCGCTGGAAACTGCTCCAAAGTGCAAGAAACGTCCCCAAGCTTCTGGACCTGGTTAATGGCTCCCACCCGTCAGGTCCAGAGCCAATGTTACAACAAACACAGTGAAGCATCCAGGGACATTTTCTGCCATTCATCAGCCACACACACACACACACACACACACTCACACACACACTCACACTCACACACACACACACACACACACACACGCACACACACACTGAATGCCGCTCCATTTGAAGGCAGTGATGTGTGACAGTAAATTTGCTGTGGCAAACAGATCTTTTGGAAAAAGACGGGATTCTGACACTGTAAGCAAAGGTTGCAGCTCGGTCTCGATACGAGCTTCATCCTGTGAAACAGAACTGAAAATGTTATCTCTGAAGATGCAATAAATTGAAGTGGAAATAAATAAAAAGGATGAACCACTCGAGAAAGAAGTGCATCAGTCATTAAATGTAGTAAACTTGTTGTGAGCTTCATACATTTTGTAAAGTTTACATGTCAGAGTTTTGATGCCGTACTGCAGTTTGTTGTGATGCTGCACTGAATGATATTATTTAAGAGAGGACACAATTTTAAGATCTAGTCAGACAAAATTTCTTATGAAAATAAAATGTTGCCTCCAAACTGAGTCGAAAACATTTATTAGAAAATAAATGTGTGGCTTGGAGTCAGTGCAATGGTTACACATTTAACAACAGTTCAATAATATAATATAACACAATAGAGGAAGTGATGGCGTGTTGTCTTTGATAATTGCTTCTCTCGTCTCCAATTAGAGACCAATAACTATGATTGTATGGGATTTAAACCTGTATATAATTACATCAACTTACAGACAGTTATGTCATACGTGAAAAAACGCTGATCACTCAAATACAAATGCTTTTTTAATAATTAGCTCATAATAATCAGGTAATCTAAAAAATAAAAATAATACATTTATTATAAACGAAAACAAAACAATCTGCAAGAGAAACAAAACAATAACCATCTGCTCATAGTGGTAGTGAGATTTCCACTTTAGGAGAAGCTCAGGTGTGATGACATTAAAAAGGAGGTGAGCTACTTCCAGGTCCTGGTCTTGTGCTGGGTCACTCACAGTCCTGGTTTACTGAGACACTCGGTGGAGCTGAGCCTGAGCTTGTTGTTGTGTCACATTGTACAGATTGTAGAAAAGCCCCGGAGACAACTTTGTGAAAAACATTTCACTAAACAATACGTCAGACATGTGAATCATGTTAAACTCATACCAGGTGAACCCTGCAGCAGTCCAATCTGTACATTCAGGTTCATAGAGGACCCCCCCCCTTCAGGGTCACGACCTCTTTACAGTGAATACAGCGTGCTGGAGCTTTGCCCGGCACAAAGCGTGAACACAAACATTATGGTGAGGTGCATTGTTGTGCAAAAACGCTGAATTGTTCAAAGCCAAAAACTGTTGGCTCTGCACTCTCACATCTACATGTTAGTGTGAACAGAAACGCTCTTCTATTTCTATTGATGTGTGTGTGTGTGTGTGTGTGTGTGTGTGTGTGTGTGTGTGTTTGTATGTTTTTTTTTGTGCTCTGCATGCACTTGCAGGGTTTGTGTGTGTGTGTGATGACACTGAGGACAACATGAGCGTGGTCCTGTGTGTGTGTTTAGCATATCAATGGCGACTGTTGCAGAAGCTCTGTGAGCCTTCTAGCAGCCGAGGCCTCTCCTCTCCTCGCTGTATTTAAGGGGCCTCCTTGTTGCCTCGCAGAGCGGACATGAACATCTTCACTAAAGTCCCAGGATTTGCCCAACAAACAAGGTATGTTGAGAGCGCCGTGCTCCAGAGTCAGACCCCCACCAACCCAAACCCAACCCCCCCCCCCCCACCCCCCCCCCCTCCAGGTCAGAGGTGTGGAGGTTCTCTGCTCTGCTCTCTGGGACGCCTCCTACACCAGTTTCCCTAAACATGCACAAACTGTACAGTTTAGGTGCAAGTTGATGGTTTTATTTTGAAAGACTGGAGCATGACGACACTTTAAATATATATTATAATCAGTCGTGACACAAGTTATGACGTTTTTTTCAGCAGCTCAGGTCTTCAGTTTCACCTCAAAAACGCCGTCATTTGTTTCCAAAGTTTCTCTGTGGTTGTTCCATCTTCTGTATTAGTTATGGAGTGGTGTGTTTGTGGTGTAATTATTCATTGAAAATGTTTCTGTATCTGCAGCAAGCTGGGGTCTGTGCTCCAACGTGCCTTCTACGGGTCCAGTGGGAGGGTGAGTCCAACATTATGAGTCAGGATCTTTGAATGGTGCTGACTCATGAGTGTATATTAACATACTTGTTCCCTGTTTTCTTTTTATTATAACACTAATTTCTAATTACTTCATTGTTTTATTCAAAGCTACGTAGCTTAGCATAAAGACTGGAGGCAGGGGGAAACAGCTAGCCTAGCTCTGTCCAGTTAGTTATAAAATTACACCCACCGACACCTCTTAAAGGTACAGTGTGTTGTATTCAGCGCGATCTATTGGCAGAGATGGAATATAATATTAATAAGTATGTTTTTCTTTAGTGTATGATCAGCTGAACATGCAGCCCAGTATCATAGCAGGTTGTGAAGCTGTCACGAAATAAGAATCTATTGGTTTTCTAATGTCAGTTTTTTCCGTGTCGCTCAGGACTAAAATAACACCAATGGAGAGTCAACTAGGAGCTTTATTCGTGGTGGACAGAAATTAAATGCATTCATGTTTCTACAGTAGCCCAGAACGGACAAATTCAAACACTGGCTCTAGAGAGGGACATTCACATTTTCAGCGTCCTGCATGCTTGGCACACTGGAGAAGTTTCAGTTGGTTTGCAATCTGCAGCGTCACCGCTAGATGGCGCCAAATCCCACATGCTGCTACTTTAAGTTCACTAACTAAGTTTTATCTCGATAGTTTAATCTATACACAAAGAGTAGTCATGCAGCGTAATTATATCTCGATGACTCGCCCAAGTTTCCAGGAAGACACTACTGACTGTTTACAAATAAATATTTACTGCATGTTACTCCCCGAAAATACAATATAAATATTACAGTTAATTTTAGTTGATTTACATTTACCTTTGGGGAGCTTTGTCACCAGTTACTAACCTTCCAAACTGTCCTTTTTTTTAAATATTACACATCATGACTCAGGTCATTATGAACATGTTGAACAAGTGGAAGGAGAGACACAGAAGATGTAAAGAAAAAGTTTCTCTGCAAGTGGCAGTTGAATGAAATGAATGTAACATATATAAGAGGCACCTGAACACCTGAGTGGTGACGTTTGCGGTGAAATCCCAGCAGGCTCTGTGATGTCATTCTTTTTCCACTTTGCTGTCTCTTGACCTCAGGTGACCCTTTTCGAGCAGCGGAACTTCGCCGGCAGGCGGCTGGACCTAAGCTCGGACTGCACCCGGATCAGTGACAAGAACTTCCCAGAGAGATGCAACTCTGTGCAGGTGGAGAGCGGAGCGTAAGTCCACAACACCCACACCTGGAGTACTGGAGGGTCCACGAGAGACCCGGACAGAGAACGAGCAGATTAACATCATTGTATTATAGTGAACAACAAGAGAGATGTTTTCATCTAAAGAGGGGGAACTCATAATGTATAAATGTAAAATATAATGAATGCACCCAAAACCCAGTGGTGCAGATATGAGCCCTGGTCATCTGTTCTGGTGGAAAGATGAGCCTTGAGCCAAGAAAATGAACAAACAACAACCAGAATTTAGTTTGGTAATATGCAGGTGAAGCTAAATCTAAAGGTAGAAAACATACGTCACAAAATTACATATAATATAGAAAATGCACACTCTTCTTCACAGATGGGTCGGTTACGAGCATGAGAACTTCCGGGGCCGTCAGTACCTGTGGGACATGTCCGACCGGGGAGAGTACAACTGCTACGACAAGTGGTGCGCTCAGGTGGACCACGTCTCCTCTGTCCGCGCTGTCAAACAGGTGAGACACACCAAGCGCACACCTGGATTCAATGTGGTGACATCACAGCAGCTGCATATGCAACATCTGTTTCTCTCTCATGAATTCATCAAAGCATGTAAATTAAAAAAATTAGACAGAAATAATTGTTGAATCTGACATTTTACAGGAAATAAAAAAGTATTTTCTGTGTCAGATTTTTCCCACAAATTTAATGTTTTACATTTAAATTTACATTTAAACCAGAGTTGTTATTTCGTAAATGAGTTGGTTACCTGCAGTATATATGGAAATACATAATTTTAAATGACTGAAGACCTGTGCAATGGTTTCAAGATTACATCATTTTAAAAGTAGGATTCATTTACAAAATATAAAAATAAAAACTGTACTTCTTTCATTGTGCCTTTAGATGTAAACAGTTTGTACATGTGTAAATTGTTCAGACTGTAATTTGCAGGCTGTTCCAGTTAATAAAAGAGTCGATCACTGAGGCAAAACATGTACTAAATAAAGAAAATAAAGTCCTAATAATTAGAAATTAGACTAAATGCCCTAATGATTTCAAACTCTGGAGAAATAATTAAAAACGCTAACACAGAGTCAACATATTCACCCGCCGACACTCAATGGAAGCTTTTTCTTCTTCCAGGACAACAACCCGGGCAGAGCTCAGCTGTTTGAGCGAGCCGGCTTCTCTGGTAAGAAGATGGAGATCCAGGACGACATCCCCAACCTGATGAGCCGCTACAGCCTCAACCGAGTCGCCTCCATCCGCGTGCTCGGAGGAGCGTAAGTCAAACATCCTGCCTGCTCTCTTTAACAGCCAATCAGCTGATCCAAGAGGAAACGGACTCAAACGATTGGTCAATAGTTGCCGATTAATTTGCTTTCAAACGACTTTCAATTGGACAATTGCAATTTACTTCAATGTTTCTACAGAAGTCCAAGTACACATTTTTGTGACTTCAAAATATAGTTGTGATGTTTAGTTAAAGTGTGTTTGTGTGAGGTTCGTCTCCAGAGTCAGAGTTCTACTACAGTAGAACACTGACCGGAGAACCAGCACAGGAGAAAATCAATGTACTCCTGTGGACGTATTTTAGACTCTTTAAAGACTCTATATCAGATTACGTTTTAAGCTATATTTAGAATATGTTCACCTCTTTACCTTTCTGAAGCTGTTATCTTTGATCTCTTCAAAGACACCAGACTCCATTCACAGAAACACTGATTATACCTCTCAGAAC